AAAAGAAAAATCGAAACTTTTTTCAAATAAAAAATTATTTTATACTTTTGCGAGATTTTATTTTGATACACAGTGTAGATGGACAAAATGGGGAAAATTTCAGTTTTCTAATCTCTAAATTTATTTAAATTTAGTTTCTATATATATTAGGAGAAATTTATTGATATTTCGTTTATATTATATCTCTTGGTTATGGGAACTCTTAGCATTTGAATATTAAAATTAAAAAAAAAATTTTTAATTATATACTAGTAATTTTGGTGAAATCAATGTTGCGTGATATTTCAATTAAATTATGTTATCAAAACACCAAATCAGCACATGGTTATTTTAGATTATTTAGAAATAAGAAAAAGCAGTTTGTTGCATAAATATGCCATTGCATGTTATCTTCATAATACTTTGAAGACCTAAGATTAAAAAAAAAATCTAAGAAAATACTTTTTGCTTCACTATAACTAATGATTGATACAACTTGTCATGTGCTTACTGATATTTTTTTAACCTATATGATGCTTAAATAAAGTTTCTATTGATTGCTCGTAGTCTACATTCTGATTTTAAATGTTTCAATGTGGTTGCTACGGTACCTAATTTTGCATAGCAACAACCTATTTTTACATTAATGTTGTTTTAACAATTTTCTATTTACGCTATGTACACTATAATGGGCATATTTATTGAGATTGACACTTCTTATGATTTTATTTTGATTGCTATAAATACCTTAGTTTGTATAGCATAGCAACTTTGCATAGCAACAACATACTTTTGGTAGTTGTTCTTGACCTGTGCTCAAAGAAGATCAGTACATTAAAAGTAAGATAGAAAGCTTGGATATGATTTTATTAGATGTTTGCAGATCTCCTATTGAAAAGAATTGTCTTATTGAACTTACAATGATTAATGGGTAGACTATTTTTATGAACGAAATAGAACTTGTTGTTGATTTCTCTAAATGTAGTGGTTCTAGAACAAGCAACAATGGCTATACTTCATGATATGCTTTTGCAGCATATGAAAAAACAGCTGAAATTATCAAATTAAATTATGAAACTAGGGTATTGATCAAAACCTTATATTCATATTTTTACATTATTTTCACTATCTTCAGGGTATAAATAGGTTTGACAAAAGCTAAACTAATAAGCAAGAATATAGGCTGTACATTAGGGTGTCCTAAAAATTTTTTTTAAAGCGCTATCAAAAACTTGGCTCTTATATGTAAAAAGACAAAATATATAAAAAATATTAATCTGAGATAAGTGTAAGAGCTCTGTGTAAAACGAAAAATTTCAATTTTGTCATATATTTTAAGTTTTTAAATTTTAAATGAAATTTTTTTTAAAGTAGCGCTTTTTAACTAGTATTTTTTAAAGTAGTCATCTTTTACTTACATTTAATAGTATATTTAATTTTTTTTATGATTATTGGTCTTTTATTGATCACTGCTATTTTTTCCTTATTAATTTTTGCTTAGTTTAATGTACATTGGTTTAAAAAGTTTTAGTTTCATAATTAAATATATTTTAAAAAATGGGTCGTACAGTAAAAAAAACCAGCAAAAAAGGATCAGAGGAAAAGGCAGTTCAAAGCAGTTTGAGACAATTTCTATCTGTTAAAATATCTTCCTGTTAAAATAACTTCCTGTCAACCAGCTGTCCAAAGCAGTTTGAGACAATTTCTATCTGTTAAAATATCTTCCTGTTAAAATAACTTCCTGTCAACCAGCTGTCCAGTGTCAAAAATATCTTGCAATACTTTCACTTTTTGAAATCTTCAAGGTAATTTTAATATCTAGCTTTTATCTGAATTATTTACTTAACGCCATACCTTGTTTGATATATCTGTTCCACAAATAATTGACATGATAATGAAAGATCAGAGAAGAACAGAAGTGGCAAAGAAAGAAAATGTAGCCTTCTATGAAGTCCAGAGATCTAAAAAGAATATGAACATGACTGCAAAGCAAGATTAAGACTTAAAATTAGGGCTCTGCGAAGAAAGGAGATATTTGAAAGAGTTAAGCAGTTAAATGATCAGAAAAACACAAAGGCTCAAAAAAAGAAAAAGACTTTAAAAACATTTGACAGATTATAGAAGTCTAGAAAGACTAGAAAAGCATAGACAGACTAGAAAAGCATAGACAAAGCTTTGGATGGACAAATCAAATTTGAAGATGATGTTAGCCCATTTAAAAGTTCCATTTTATGTAAAGAAAGTGATGATTCTTAAAATGATGTATCCAAATCAAAAAAAATTTTAGAATTAACACCTGATAAACTTATTGAAGCTACTTCTTCTGTTAGTATTTGATATAGAATTGGTGTTAGGTCCTAGGCTACTATAATTTCTGTTACCTGCAATAAAGCAGTTGTTGACTTGCATGAGGTTAATTTATCAAGATCTACTCTACACAAAAAAAGATGCAGAAATATTGAAATTCTTGGTAACTATTATTCACAAAAATGATTAAGTTTATTTGTTTTATTATCTTTATTATTTTATATGTTCAATTTAATTGATTTAGGAGAAACTCTACGACAGAATGTTGTTAATGTTTTAAAAGGAAAAAAACTCATAGTCCGTTTTGATGGGAAACTTGTTAGACAGCTGGAAGAAGAAAATGGTATAAGAGTTACTTGTGAGAGAATTGGAGTTAGTGTAACCAGACCAGATTTGGAATGCAGAGATAATTTTTTGCTTGGCATAGTCCAGGCAGAAAATTCAACTGGGTCTGATCAGGCGCATCTAATCCTCAATCTCTTGGAATACTATGATATTGTCTACAATATTATTGGTGTTTGCTGAAAAATTTGAAGGAGCAGTTACAATCCTATCAACAATCCTTAATACAAGTCTTGTCTGGTGCATGTGTTGTCGCCATATTATTGAAGTACATATTAAACATTTGATGACTGCACTGACTGGCACTGAGCCAAGTCTCCAAGAAGAAAAATTTCTGTGCCCTTACAGAAGGCTTGGTCAAAGATTGTTGACAAGATAGACATGTCATCAGATAATCTGGTTAAGTTTAATTAGACTTCTTTAGAGATTGGATTGCCTATCTATAATAAAGCCAAGGCAGCATTAAGGTTTGGAGAAAATGCGCTAAATACAAAATCTAAATACAAAATAAATACAAAATAAATTACAAAATTACAAAATAAATTACAAAAATCTTTGTCAGTTATTTGTTTACTACCTTGGTGGTCATGTTCCTGCTATAAAATTTTATCAGCCAGGAGCTTACCATGAGGCAAGGTTTATGGCAGATGCAATTTATTTGCTTACATTAGAAACGACAAAAGACATCTCAAACATCATAATTAAAAGGAGAAGAAGATGGTACAGATAGTTTCTTTATTTATATCTCTAACATACTGTCCTTGGTTTTTCAAAAGCTCTCCGAGTATTAAAGCACCAGCTAATGATTTAGCAGCATTCAAAGACGTGTTTGATTTAAGTTAAGAATACCCTGAGTTTTCTTAGTCAAAAATGAAAAGCATTCACAACCATACCTGGTATTTAAATCAGCAGCTTGTTGAATGGCTTTTGTGGATGATAATGTTGAAAAAGACAAGAAGAAGAATATACTCCAAAAACTCTTACAGTTTCCAGTTCCTGAAGAGTTCATGAAAAGTAAACCTAAAATACCTGTAACTACACCACTATCACTGTCTACAACACTATCAAATTTAGTCAATGATCAGAGTTGGATTTTGTTTTGCCTAGTCCAGGTTACCCACAACCAGGTTGAGTTAGCTGCACAAGGGGACTATACTATTTTGGACAACTTTAAATTTTTTTTTTTAAATATGGAAGTCACTAATGATTGTGCAGAAAAAAATATAAAATTAATCCAAGACTTGATTATGTCATACCAAAATAAAGATATGAAGCAGAATGTCTTGATGGTTGCAAAAAACAATAGAAAAGCTTTTTTGTGGGCTAGTGCATTAACAATGCACTAGCCCACAAGCTATTGGAGCATTGTCAATATTTCATCGGGAAATAAACTATTGGGTTTAAATGCACAATTTGGATAATCCAACGAAAGTGCAGACTATTTCAATGGGGGTATTGAAAACAACCAAACATTTTATATTTAAATATTAATATTACATTTTTTTTTTTTTACATGAAAAACTTGTTTAAAAAAAAAAACTTTTTTTTAAAAATAAATAGCAAATAAAGTATTTCTTTAATATACTGACTGAAAAAAGTTACAAAAAAACTGTATATCAAAAATATTTTTATTATTGTTATATTCTTATTTACTATTTTCCTCGACTTGTATTAATTTTGATACTGGAAAACAACAAATATCCTAAAAATAAAAATAAAAACAGTAAAATATTTAAGTATATTATTTTTTTGACAACAATTTTCTTTCTTTATTTTTCAATTTTTTTTAGCTTACTTTATTAAGATTTTCTATTTCGTATAGTCTTCCGTTCTTTTCTTTGAGTATTGCTGTTTTATTCTCCCTCGTTTCTTATAGCTTTCTTTGAGGCAATTTTTTTAAATGCATACTATATAAAAACGTGGTCAAGCTGTCTTAAAAAATTATTTTAAGTGCGGACAAACAAGGTGTGTGACTACGCGTGTTTCCCAGAAGGCTTGTATATATGTCATTTTATAATCTAAAATCACAATCAGTGGTCTATTTTATTTTAAATTTTTTCTGATTTTTTCACAAATTTTTACAACAAAAGCCTTTAAACAGTTACTGTCACAACTTAAAAAAAAACATTATGGCCTCAGCTTATCAACAAATCTACCCACTAAAACTTTCAACTTCCATTGTAATTGCCATGTTAATGATTTGTTTTAGAGAGAGAGAGAGAGAGAGAGAGAGAGAGAGAGAGAGAGAGAGAGAGAGAGAGAGAGAAAGAGTTAGATGAAGGGATAGAGAAATCTTGCATTTTGCATATATATTGTGAAAAAATTGTTTTCGTTTTGCAAGGTAACAAAAAAAGCTAACAAAATTTTTTTACTTGTGTACTTGGATCATATGTCGCAGTTGTCTGCATTCCTTTTGTGTTACTACCATGGGCAAGTTCTGTTAGCGCAAACGATCCCAATATCTAAAATAAAAATTATTAATTAACAAAAAATATGACAGAAAAATCATTAATTCCACCTTAACCAATCTAAACTAATTATTCTAACCCTTTTTAAAAATTGATTATGTAAAAAATAGATAAATACATAGGTTTACCCACAGCTACTGTATTTTTGCAAAATAATAAATAGGATAATATTAGGTAAAACAATTGCTCAGCAAAATTATTATACAATTAAAAGTTCCAATTTTCAAAGGTATTCTGGTGAGATAGTTATAACTATACTCTTTTTTCATTACAAGTTATATTTGAAAATATATTCTAAAATATTGGACCGTAGTAAAATAACATTCAATTACCAAAATGATTATTGCATTTTGTTTCTGAAGTTGAGAAAGTTACATAATGTTGTAGGTCTAAATTAGTATACATCTATATATATATATATATATATATATATATATATATATATATATATATATATATATATATATATATATATATATATATATATATATATATATATATATATGTATATAGATGTATACTAATTTAGACTTGTTGATACATTTATCATGTATTTTAAAAGTCTCAAATTTTTTTATTTGTATGTATGTATATATATATATATATATATATATATATATATATATATATATATATATATATATATATATATATATATATATATATATATATATATATATATATATATTAGTGTGTGTTTTTTTTTTTTTTAAATTTGATATTGCACACCCTCTTATTTGGTGAGGTTCAATAAAAAAAGTTCACAGATAATTTTTTTTTGCATGATGGAAAGTGGTCCCCAACACTTGCTTTGTAAACGCCCCTGATTTTTGAAAATCAAAAGGCACTGTTTTCCATGTGCTGTGGGTGTACTCTGTGACCAATAAAAAACAAAATTTGAATTATTTGGATAATTTTTTGACCCCGCTCAATGGGCTCAAAGATCGAATTTTTATTACAAAAATTCGAATTGCGACGGTTCAAACACCCTTAAAAAATAAAAATAAAAAAATAATGCTTTTCATCTGATTTTTTAGAAGTTTACGATTATTTTAAGCCTATTCCCATCGTAATTCAATAAGATTTAGGCTGTCTACAAGCATTAAAAGGACTAAATTTTTGACCTGGTTTCTTAAAAAAACACCCGGTTTCTACAACATTTTAAAACTGCCGGGTTTTTTATTATATTGGGATGGATTGCAAATTTTTAGGGGGACTTTTTATTTGTAATTACTTTTTTTGGATAACAAAATTATTTACAAATAAAAGCATTATATTAAATAAGATTGAAGTTGTTGGGAAGGTTAGGCAGGGGTGGAGGATATGCCGCCCCCCTTCAATTTTTATACAATTTTTTTAACTTTTTGAACAAAAAAGTTCACTTGAATTGAATTGAATCACTGAATAAAGTGTTTGTATGTGTATTATTTAAGTTAAAGTATGACATATTTATATAGCAGTATATAAAAAATATTTTTATTATTAATAACCTATTACATTATATTATTTAAAACAAAGCGGGAAAAGACATCAAATCAAAATACCAGTTTTTTTGATAAATGACTTTATTAAATTCTCTAGAAATATAGAGAACACCCTCTCAACTATCTTATAGAGATCGAGTTCTGCAATATTTAATTTGTATACAAATCAAAACTAAAAAATAAAATCGTTTTCAGACGTACACAGAGACAGAGTACACCCACAGCACATGGAAAACGGTGCCTTTTTATTTTTAAAAATCAGGGGCGTTTAGCCTACCCTAATAATTATGCACATATATGTATTTAGAAAGCTTATTTTTCCATATTTATTAGTAAAAATTACAATTTTTATTTATAGAAATGAAATTTTTTATAAATAAACCTGGCATAAATATATGAAATAACAACTTTTGATATATATTTTGATATTTAATAATCATATAAACAATTTCATGTAACAATTGAATGTTAAAGAATTTCAGACAAATTCTTTTTGGAATTGACTGAAAACTTTTGTCTGTGATTTGAAATTGAAATCATCAAAGATTGCTTTAACTCCTCATCCTGGCAAATGTGTGTAAAGTCTTGGATGAGCTTTACTCCTCTCTTAGCACAATCATTTACTACTGTTAATTTTTCTACGAATGTTTTCAGAACTCTATATCCTGAGAAATTATTCCAATCTCTAAAATAAAATAGTTATCCTAAAATATTTTAAAAATGCCAAAAAATAACATAAGAAATAATTTATGAGAAATATTTACTTGGAGCTAACTTGCATCCATTCTGTTTCTATTACAGATAAATTTAGCTGCTGAATGAGAATCCAACTTTGAGGTCCAACCAGTTGCCATAACTCTGGAATTTTTTTTATGTCAATATTTGGAAAAAGTGGTTTTCCCAATGTTAAATTTGAAGGTCTAGGATATAAAAATAGCTTTTTGGCAATTTTTTCTATAATGTTATTGTCAAGTGTTTCGTCGCAAAGAGCAAACACAACATTTCGTTCTGTAAGAAACCATAAGTGAATTTTAATACTTTTAATAGCAGTAGTTGACACAGTTTTGTTAAATGATCCATACTTGGTCATATCCCTGATTGCACATAAGTCTAAAGAAGGAGAAGAAACTGCCAATGGTGCTTTCAGAAACTATCTTGCATGAAAAAGCCCAATAAACTCAGCAATTTGAGGGACTGTTGCTATTTCTTCTTCCCTAATTATATCAAATTGTTGCAAATGAAATGTAAGCAGTTCTATTGTCATGTAGTAGATAGCTTTTGAAAGAAATCTTGCATGATGAAAAGCTATAGGTTTACGAAACTTAAAATTTCCAAGCTTATCACTGCCTAGCCAAACCAAAACAAGTTCTGCTAAATGCTTATAGTCACCACGAGGAAACTTTTCTGTAAACAAGGCGTATTCAAGATATATTTTGGTTTTTAGAGCCTTTGAAAAAATATAATGCAAATAAGTTTATTTTGTTTTAAAAATTTTCAGAAAAAAGAAATATGCAATTCTCCTTACCTGTTCTTCTAAAAATGTTCCTTTTCTCTTGCTCCATTCAAACCTGTTAAGATTGTTTAAATTTATGTCAGGCTTAATAGTTTCCCAGAAATTTTGAATTTTTTTGAAAAGATTATCAACTGGTCCATCAGACATATTTCCAGAAACTGCAAGTGCTACATGCTAGATAATGACAAATGAGATTAGGAAAAAGCTATATGAGTAAACCAAGAATAAAATTATTTAATAGTTCTATTTCTAACCTTAATATGAAGCTCATATATGTGATGTCTGCAGGCAAACCATAGTAATGGTCTGCCCTGCCATTTTTCTAGCAATACACAGGCACCCTGGATCCAGCCTTAATTTAATTTATTTATTCAATGTGAAATTTTTTAAATAAAAATTATGAAAATACAAAAATATCATAATACAAAATGTCATAAAATGTCTTTATTATTTTATTGAGTTTATTTTTCTCACCTGTATTTGAAGATGTAGTGTCAAAACATACACTATGTACCGAATCCCAGAGATTCCAAGATTCCAGTATTTCCTTAATTGCTTTTGCTTGTGTTATTCCATGACTATCTGTGATAGAAAGAACTCCAATAAGTTGTTCTTTATCAATACTAGGACTTGAAATCACTAGTGCTAACCGCTCAACATTTATATTCGCACCATAAAAATACTCTTTTACTATTTTTGTGTCAAAATGAACACAAAGTAGTTTCCCCTTAGCTTTTACAATAAAATCTTCTTTAACTTTTAAACTATATTCACTAATTACAGCACTTGAATGAACCTTTGCTGACGTAACAGAAATATCAAAGTCCTTTAGATTTCCGCCTGCTGAGTTGATGACATTAGCCAATGTAGCGGTATGCGCTGAACTCTGAATACCGTATCTCTTTGCTGTAACAGCAGTGGCCTTTAAGATTTTTCTAGGTAGCATAACTTCAACAAAATCTGGTTTTCTCTTATGAGATCTTGGTTTGCAGTCCTTTTGATATTCAAAATCTTGATTATCCTCTTTGTTCTGTGCTTCTACACTGCTATTTCTAACCTGATTTAAAGTTAAATTGGTTATAAATTCAGAAGCTAATCTGTTACTATTTGAAGTAGTCATTCTCTTATTGGTAAACTCAATCCCCTATGAGTAGTAAATAAGTACTTCTTGTCTATTCCACCCATGACAGCTTTACGTTCTCCTCGTTGATCATTCAAAAAGTTTATATCAATATTTCTTTCCTTTTTAGTGACTTGCTTATTCAATAGAATTTTTTGCTGTGCATCATTCACACTAATATCAAATAAGCACTTTATTTCAAGTTTGTAAGCGTCTATTTTTCTTAAATTGTGTTTTGTGTCACGTAATTTGTTCTTTGATAGTTTCTTTCTACGATCTTCCAAGCACAATATCTTACTTCTATATAAAGAAACAACATTTTATTTTTACAGTAAGATTCTTTAAGTTTTAGTTTTAAAAATAAATAAATACTGTGTATACAATTATTATTTACCTAATATGTTAGTCAGCTACTATTGGGATTGCACTTCTTTTCCAGATTTTCTTCAGTGACGAAACAACACATGTGCTTTTAAGAAAATTACACCCTCCAGGGTTATTGCAACCAATTTCAAAACTCCCATGTGGAAATTTGCAAGAAACCATATCACAGAGTCTATATTTTAAATTTTCTTTTCTTGCTTTGAATAGTTTGCCATGTAAATATTGCAGAACTTGCTCTCCAGTAGGCAATTGAGATGATGATAGTATTTTGATAATATCATTTATCAAAAAAACTTTATATTTTGATCTTGTGTCTTTTCCCATAATTATCTAAAACAACGATTTTTCTATGCGAAAAAATTAATTACTGCATAGGACGTCTAAAATTATCGCGATCTTAGTAAAATAAACAAACCGTTTAATAAAAAATGTTTTAAAAACCGGTTAATTTTTAAGGAAACCGGGTCAGACCTCAGGGTCCAAAATTCTTGAGCACAGTCTTAGTCTTATTCAATTATCATAAAGTTAGGCTTAAAATGATCATATGAACATAAAAAATCAATCAAAAAACAGTGCCTTTGAGATTTTTATTTTGAAGGTTATCTTACCGGTCATTATATGGATTTTTGAGGCCAAAATTTGATATTTGAGCCCATTGAGCGGGGTCCAAAATTTGTGCAAATGAGTTGAACTTTGGTTTTTATTGATCACAGAGTACACCCACACCACATGGAAAACAGTGCCTTTTGATTTTCAAAAATGAGGGGCGTTTAGCCTACCCTAATATATATATATATATATATATATATATATATATATATATATATATATATATATATATATATATATATATATATATATATATATATATATATATATATATATATATATATATATATATATATATATTGGTGCAGTTAATGTCGATAAATATGAAAAGTAAATAAAAAGAATTTAATGACGTCAAAAATCATGTCATGCTTATGCGTCGCGCAATTTTTATTAATCACAAGGCCTGTATATAAATATATATATATATATATATATATATATTTTTACTAAATAATATTGAACTAAAATTAATAATAAAATAAAAATTAAAAACATTTCAAACTTTTCATAATAAAATTATATTTAAAACATTTATAGTTATTTGAGTTGATTGGTAAATTGAACTAGTTTGCAGTTATTTATTTATTGCAGTAGTTAAAACACTTAACATCTATAAAAAAAAATAAAGATAATTTTATGACGTCAAAATCGCGTTAAGCTAATGCATTGAGCACTTTTTTATTTAAAACAAGGCCAAGTATTTTTGTTATGTAAGGTTTAAAATACTGATTTGGTTTGATGCAATTTTGTTAAATAAGTAATCAAAACATAAAATTATTGTTTGTGTTTACAGAACATTAAATTATCAAAAAAAGATTTATTGTCATATAGCTAACATACAAACATTTTAATTTATTATATTTAGTGCATTCTGAATGGAAATTAAATGACTTGAATGACATTAACTATAGACCACTTCTAAATAATGTTTGGATAAACTAAAGCAAAAAATTAGATAACTGATTAGTATACATGGTATACAACATAAAAATAACATTCAAAAAAATATATATTAGAAACAAATACTAAAAAATGTTAATATAATAAACAAACCTCCATAGAATCGGCTTTACTTGCTAATTCCAAGTTGTTAGAATCCTTTGAACCTTTATAGATTGTCATTGAAAATAGCTATTTAAAAAAAATTTATATTAAGTAAATAAGTTTATCCATTTACTCAATTATATCTATATCAGAAAATAATAAAAAAAAACTTTTAATACAGTTAAAAAATATAAAGTAAACAGGGTAATATAAAATAGAGAACATAATGAAATAGATGATATAATGAAATAAAGGATACAATAAAATAGATGATGTAATAAAATAGAAGAATATAATAAAACATTTATGACAATGTTAATTTTTTTTCTCTCAACTAATTATTGAATAAACTTTTTGCGAATATTTTTTTTAAACTTATAGTACAACTTGAGTATAACTTTATAATAAGCACCAAATAAACCAAGCAACAATGGCAACTTTGGCAACACCAACATATATATATATATATATATATATATATATATATATACATACATACATACATACATACATACATACATACATACATACATACATACATACATACATACATACATACATACATACATACATACATATATATATATATATATATATATATATATATATATATATATATATATATATATATATATATATATACATATATTTATATATATAATATATATATATTTATATATGTAATATATATATATATATATATTTATATATATAATATATATATATGTATGTATAACATTAAATTATATATATATATATATATATATATATATATATATATATATATATATATATATATATATATATATATATATATATATATATATATATATATATATATATAACAATATATATCCACATTAAAAAATAGAAGAACCAGAGGTGATGTAATACAACTATACAGATTTATTAATAACTTGGATGTATTAAATTGGTATAATGCTCTTAAATTGGTATAATTATAGAAAATTGTATTACAAAAGGCTACAATAAAAGATATGTAAACAACAAACCAAAATTTCAAATCAAATCAAATACATTTTGAAATAAGTTATAACATTGCAAGAAAATTTATAACAGTACAATTACTAATATAAAGTAAATACCTGAATATACAACATAACATTATAGTCAATGATGAAAGTAATAATAATAACTGATATTAATAATACTAATAATAATAATAATAATAATAACAATAAAATAAGTAATAACAATAATAACAACGATTGTGATAAGAACAATAATAACAACAACAACAACAACAACAACAACAACAACAACAACAACAATAATATTAATTATAACAATAATAATAATAGTAACAAAATAATAACAATTACAATAAGAGAAGAATTTCATAAATAAAGACAATAACAGTAGCAACAAAAATTTAGTAAATAGTGATGGCAACAAAAAAGATTTAGTACAAAGTAGAATAGTTGAGAAATAGAGAATAGTTGAATGAAAAGAGATAAATAGATAGATAAATATAGAATGCCAACCTATTGGTACTAAAATTAATAATATTAGAATGGATAATTTAATAATAAAGTTTAAAAATGGCAGATAGAAAAACAAAGAAAAAATGGCAGATAGAAAACCAGAGGAATTAGATGTAAATAGATAAGTAGAGAATTTCAAAATTTTAAAAATATCAAATTAAAAACTGAAGGATTACGAATTGATATATATAGTAAAGAATGTCAATATTAGTTTGTAGAAATATTTAATTGCATTTTTTTAACAAATAATTAAAAAGCATGATTTTGAATTCAGATTTTAGATCAGGAGGTAGTTTGTTCCATGAGCTAATACATTGATATTTAATGGATTTATTTCCATATTTAGCAGAGTTGTGTTTTGGAATAACTAAGTTTAAGCTATTGATGGAGCGAAAAGGAGAGTGACAATTTGTACTTTTAAAAAAGAAATTGTTGAATGATAGGGGAAGGTTTTTGTGATGATAGTTCGAGACAAATTGGCAGTTGAGGAATACCACAAGGTCGCATATTTTTAACATTTTTGAGATTAAGTATAGCACATTAGATTTAGAGTTATTATACTGAAAATATATTATTTTCAAGGCTTGAAATCGGATGGGATAACCTTAAAATGATTTTTTTATGGGATTGTCCCCATACTTGACATGCATATCTTAGATGGGACCCAAAAATAGCATAATATATATTTAGCAGAGTTTCTAGATTTACATGGCTAGCATTCCATTAGATCTGCTGAGTTTCATTGCTAAGTCATTCAGATGGCCTTACTCTGTTTTGTTAGAATTTAGAGAAAGTTTATTAGAACGAAACCACTGAACAAGATTTCCAAGATCATGATTAATATGTTCGTTGATTTTTTTTAGTGATTTGTCAACCAGTAGCATGTTAGTATCATCAGCAAAATGGTAAGCAGTTGCAAATTTAAAAGAAGTATATAAGTCATAATAAAAAGAAGAAAAAGAAGTGGTCCTAAAACTGAACCTTGAGGGACGCCATTTGAGCAATTCTGTAAATCAGATTTAGTGATATAAATCGAAACAAACTGCATTTTATTTTGAGATATGAAAAGAACCATTTTAGTGGGATGCCTCTGATTCCATAGTATTCTAATTTTGTGAGAAGGATGGAGTGATCCACAGTATCAAAAGCTTTCTGCAAATCTACAAACAGCCCACATATTAAGTGTTAATTATCTAGAGCTATTCTAATCTTCTCAGTAATTTCAATAAGTGCTAGGGCTGTAGAATGTTTGCTTTAAAATCCATATTGATGTTGGTATAAGCATTTAAATTTTTCTAGAAAAGCTCATTTTTAGTATTAATGTTTTTACATCTTACAAATTTTTTATAGATTTTGTTTTTTACAGAGATAGATTCAAGTAACCTTTAGAGATCCAGGGTTTAGATTTAAGTTTGATTTGATTTTTAGTCAAAGTTTTATAGGGGGAGCATTGGTCTAGAACCCTATTAAACAAGGTCAAATGGTCAACATGGAATTTACCTCAGTGATTGTGATTTAGAGCCATTTTTATCATTGATGGTAAAACCATATTTGGACAATTATTTTTTGGATTGTTTTAGACAATATTTTTACCGGATTCAAACTTTAAATACTTTTCAATTCAGAAAAATAAACAATAAATATAATAAACATCAAAATATAATAAATAAAAATATAATCAAATAATAATAATACTGAACTTAATAGCAGCCGTGGCGCAGTTGTAGCGCACTTGCCTCAGAAACAAAGGATCCATGGTTCAAACTCCACCTCTGGGCAAAAATTTGCGACATCGGTTAGGAAGGAGGTGTGAACTTCCAATTAAATGCTCATCTGGGGTACTCTGTGATAAGACCGTAAGGACTTCTTGGGGCACCTGAATTGAATTAAAAAAAAAAAAAATAGTAGTGTTAGTAGTAGTGCGCTTTCAAAACTGTTTGACACAGTACCCTTGGCAGCCATTGCAAGCGAGAAAGAGTTTAAATTAAGTAATGTTAAAACATATGTTAAAACATACTGAAACATTTATCAAGTTTTACAGTTTGATTTTAAAAGCTCTCCTTAATTTTGATCTATAACATTTTTTCCTTAAAAATGTCATTATATTGTTTTAAAAATCTTCGCTTGAGAATGTGCCAATGTGGCCAAGTGGATAAAGCGCTGAGCTTCTGAACAAGTAAACCGAGGTTTGATTCCTACCACTGACGACTTTTTTATTTTTAATTTTTTTTTGATTATTTAAAATACAAAATACTTTTGAAGTTTTATAAAGATTATATACAAACATATGTAATGATATTATACACTTTAACAAATGAAAAGATTTTAAGAAAGCTAAAATTTCATAAAACTTAAAAAAAAACATCACAGGGAGAAAAAATTTGTTGTGTATGTGTCATGATTGAGATACTTATGTTATTAATGTGCTCAGGTAATTAGTCCTAATAAGTTGCGGATAGTCTGAAAAAAAATTGTCTGAAACTTAATAAAGAAAAAACGTAATAAGAAAGTCCTGCTACTCAAGAAGGTGCTGCTGTTTTTTTTAACTTCAAGTATGGATGATACAAACAAATATATTGAAATAAGATAATTTGACGCAAAATTTAAAAGCTCTTAACAAAAACCACAAAACCAAAAAAATTAAAAGTAATTGCAGTTCAGTGTACTTAAAAATTTTAAGTATAGTTTATTGGTGTTTGCAGAGAAACTTTATATAAATCATTTTTTAATTTTAATATAAACTAATCTTTTTTTAAACTTACGATATATATATATATATATATATATATATATATATATATATATATATATATATATATATATATTGCTTTCTGATGAACCTACTGATGGTGAAACATGCTGTTGAAAAGCACTAAAAATTAGATAAATGTTTTTATTTAATTATATATATCCATACATATAGTTATACATATATATATATATATATATATATATATATACATATATATATATATATATATATATATATATATATATATATATATATATATATATATATATATATATATATATATGTATGTATGTATGTATGTATGTATGTATGTATGTATGTATGTATGTATATATATATATATATATATATATATATATATATACATGTATATATATATATATATATATACATATATATATATATATATATATATATATATATATATATATATATATATATATATACATAAAATGTGAAAAATCCACTTATATAACGTTTTATTCAGGATCGTATATAATATAAGTAAACTTTTCAATAATTACAAGTCTTTTTTGCTCAAGCTGTTATGTTTTGATTTTTTGTAGGTATGTTATTATATTTTAAAAAATTGACAAGGATGAAAAAGTACAAAACATAGGGTTCCCATTCTCCTTTTCCATAGGAAAGTACGGCGCTAAACTAATTAAAATTGAAGTTTTCACTGCATTCTCCAACGGAAAAAAGAGGAGAATGGGAACAATAACAAAACATAGTCTCATCCAGGTGGAAAAATTAAAACTTCGATTTTAGATTTACCCCTTTCTTGATGATTTCTGATAAAATTACATCATCTGATTCTTAGACCATTA